TTCTGGATTTTCTGTGAAAAAATCTCTTAGGTGGTTGAAAGAATTAGGTTTACCAGGTTTACAAGTAGTCTTCCATAATTGGTATTTAAGGAGATGGACTTCTCTTTGCCCTCCAGGAACTGGTGTTTTCAGCATCTCCAGATGCTACTATCCGGATTTGGTCTGTCTCTGGCGCTTCCTGTGTGCAAGTTGTAAGAGCCCATGAAAGTGCTGTCACAGGGCTGAGTCTTCATGCAACTGGGGATTATCTTCTGAGCTCTTCTGATGATCAGGTGAGAATGAATGCAGAATATCTTTTAGCCTAGATTTAAAAAAAATAAGAATTCAACCTAATAATAACGTCTTCTGGAAACAATTACTTATGTACAGCCTCGACCTTTGCTTTTTATAGTATTGGGCTTTCTCTGACATCCAGACTGGCCGTGTTCTCACCAAGGTCACAGATGAAACTTCTGGCTGTGGTATGGATCTTGCATTTAGAATCTAAATTGAGTATTCTGTGAGACATGCTTGAACGAGCGTGGTCTCAATATGTTGGACATGTGGGAGGGAAGAAGCTAGTTGGAGCTCCCTCATTTATTCAGTGATCCAATATTGTTTCCTGCAGCTCTCACCTGTGCTCAGTTCCATCCTGATGGGCTTATTTTTGGGACAGGAACAATGGACTCCCAGATTAAAATCTGGGACTTAAAGGTAAAAATTGGGTTGTATTACGACAAATAATATAATGCAAGAATGTGGGAAACTTTTATTTTGAGCTTGATTTTTACTGATTTGCTGACATGGACCATGTTCCAAGTATCCTTATCCTTTTAGAGCTTTAAATAAGAATTGCTTTAAACCTATTAATTAGAGCTTAGAGATTTAGAATATTCCATAGGTCTAGTAATATATCCCACCTACTTTTATTTGTTGCTTACATGCTGTTTTAAATTCATAGTATTATATGCTGCTTTATGTTCAGCATTATATTTCAGAATACTATAAATATACTATATGCTATAAACCCTTGCAATGCATACTGTGTGGAACACAAATAATTTTAATGAATTGAAATATGAACTCAAATATCACTACTGACTATTTAGATTGCTGCTTAATGCTTTTGTGAATTACTAGGTATGATTCTGTTATATACTATTACTTAGAAAGATTTCATGCTGAAATTACAAAACAAACTCTCTTTAGCTGCTTCTTTGTTTCAGGACCTTTTTGTCAGATATTTCTCTTCCCTGGAAGAGGTAGATTCAAAGATGGGGATAATTTGAAATAACCCCTCTTTTCATGAGTTATAATCCTCATTCTTTTGAATCAAATTGATAGTTGCTGTTTTCAGTACAAAGATTTAAGATGTCTAAATGATTATGTAAAGTGTCTTGAGAAAATGGTTCCTTTTAGTGGTGACATAATAGTTTCTTTTAGTTACCACTGTTGTATCACCTAAAACGCATGGAAGACTTTGGTGATGTACTAAAGGCTCATTTCATTCTCTTTCAAACAGTTTTTTAGTGTCAAAATCTGGTCTATCTGAAATATCTATCCTCCTAGGTATTGTCAATGTTATGTTGAGCTCAAAACATTATACAGGAATATTATGGACTGTAGAATGAACGCTCACATCTCTGTTCATGGTGAAGGCAGAGAAGAGATAGGAGTTGCATTTTTTTGGAGGGTATAACAGCACTCAAATATCCACTAATTACTTGCCTTCCTCAGGAACGGACTAACGTCGCAAACTTCCCTGGACACTCTGGTCCCATTACTAGCATTGCCTTCTCNAAAATCCTTAAAACAATCTCCCCCAGTCTCATGGGCTATCGATCTGCTGGGCTTCACTTTCTACAACACTGCTAGGCTGATTAGAGGAGAATGGATAACACTTTTGGGGATCTCAATTTCTCCTTTGGAATTTTCTGTGGGCCAAAGTCTACTCTGCAGTTTGGAGTTTTGGTGAGTCCTTGGGTTCAGCATGGTCAGTCCTACAGGGAAAGAGGCATCCCTGAAAATGACCTCCCCTTTCTTCTGCAATGGAGATCTTCCACTGCATAAGAAGTGCTTCTGCTTGAAGATATATCAGCATTTTCAATTGGGATTTGTGCCCATATTGCAAAGTAATTCAGGGAGTTTTTCTCCAGTTTTTAGAGGGACATTTTAGGGGTTTTCTCTTCTGTCTTAAATAGCATGCACTTCATTTCAGTTTTATAAACTTCCCACTAAAAAGTAGCAAGAAATGTTCTCTTCAGATCCTGAATGGGCACCATTCATTTCAGGTGAATAAGCCGATTCAGAAGGGCATATTGAACAGGGGAGCTCACTGACAGAAACAATAAACCAAAACTGGGAAAGAAATCTCTATGCAAAGCTTACAGGCTGGATTTCTTGTACTCGTGTGCTGTCTTTTTCACACTGTAGCATTCAGTTTCATCACAAATGAAATATCCCCAGATCTGTGTTGATCACAGATTACTTCCAGGTTTAAGCTGAGTGCTGTAAAAATAAAGACCATCTATGGTAGCAGAGAAGCTAGTGCCTTTTTAAGGAAAATATAATTTATTTCTCAGATATTCACTTTTCCTTGTCCCTTTAATCCATGAAGCCACAAAATTTCACAGTCTTAGAGTGCACCTAATTTGAGTCTGGAAGACTTTCGCCACAGCCTTATACACTTAAAAAGGACCCTGCAACCTTAGTTCAGTGAAGCCCTGCTGCCATGGGTGAAGGTCAGAAGACAGAAGCTGCTGAGATACAGTTGCTCATCCAAATTTTGTCTTGTCCTGCAGTCAAATAGTTAGGATAGGGTTCAGCATGCTTCAGAAGCTTGCAAAGTATGTTTGCAACAGTGGTGGGTTCAGGATTCTGTTGCAACTGGTACGGTGCAATGGGGCCAGGCGTCCACCACATGAACTTGCACACGCATGCAGCACACACACATATACTTACCACCTGCGCTGCCTCTGCAACGCTCCAGCTGTTCGGTGGAGTATCACGCAGGCGCAGTATGCTCCATGCGTGTGCACAGAAGCCCCGAAAACTTCAAATACCGGTAAGGAGCATGGGTGGGCAGATGGGCCCTCCGGAGCACCATGCCGGAATGGTACCTGGTGCTCTCAGCAGGCACTGGTACGCCCGTGTATACCGATTGTAACCCACCACTGGTTTGCAAGCAGGTGGAGGAAGGACCCCCCCCCCCAAACTCACCCCAAATTGGTGGGTACAGGGCTGGAGGTCA